AATCATAAAAAGTGATTTGCTTGAAAAATGTCATTACATCATATATTTAATGATACTAATTGTAAGAATCTTACTTTTTGATTATAACAATATAATTTCAGTTACATATTTAATTGACTGGTTTGACTAATCATTTATAGAGAAAACGTTTTCTAATCAAAGTTATTTTGGTAAGAAAAATGTTTTTTTTATAGAATAGTTACTGGCGCAAAAATTACATTATACAGATACTGATAGGAAAAATTGCTGAAGTATACGTTTTCTAATCGAAGTTATTTCGTTAAGAAAGTAATATTTAATGGCACTTTTCCTTTTCAGCATTTGTATAACGTAACTTTTGTATCTGTAACTATTCTGTCATTATCATCTAATTTAAGTTGCCGGACTTCAGAGAGACAATGAGTTTATTTGTAAAAGGAAGACATGCGCATAATAGTATTTGCGTGACGCAGCATTGCGGAAATTGTGTGCTATTGCTGTAGCAGCTGTCATATCTCGCGATCTTTACGACACAATTCGATGCAGATTAACAATCTTATAAAATGTTGCAAAGCGGAATTACAAGCGCACGAATGCACGCGTAATGAATCGCTGAACTACTTGATTAAATACAACAGCCGATTCAACCGTAGATAACATATTAACTGTAAAGCCCTGCGTACATTATTCTTATGCATACTAATCACATGGTATTAGTACGATATAATTGTATATTCTCGAAGAGAAATGTGATATGTAACATGTAGATAAATTTGATCTCTAATAGTTTCGCACGAATGTCGGTATGTATATGTTAAGTTACTGCATTTAGATTACTTTCTTTAATAGTACGCGTGTAATATTTAATATCTCTATAATTGATTCTTGAAAATGTTATCATTATCTGTTAATGTAATTATTTTGCACGTTCTGGGGAATCCATCAAAATTTCGAGTCTTAATTACAAATGAAGAAAGTTTTATGAATGTAATAAACTCGAAGAACTAAATGAAACATACGTAATTCGTAGCATCTAACAAAAATCTACCACTTTTAATTATTTGTCTTTCTAACTAATAAATAAGAATAAAAATAATAAATCTATTAAAAATCAAAATTTACTATTTATAATACGCCAACGTTAATAAAGTTTCTATTTTCACATTCTAAAAGAATCGTTAGAATAGAAAAGAATAAGAGTTTATTCGATCTCTAACGTGTAATATCTCTATGCAGCATCGTGCGACGATGACGAGAAATGTTGGTTGGACATTCCTTGTGACAAGCAAATAAGTAATTTATTGCGTGCGGCTATCGGAGGTATACCTGTGCGTCGAGTACAAGTCGTACGTAGCTACCGACCGACCGACGACCTCTATCTACGGTCTCGAAACGGCTTTTCAGGTTTAGGAGCGAGCTCGTGTCACGTTTCCCACGGCAGCGCCAATTGCATGTATACGCACATGCAAGAAACTTCGCCGTAAAATGCGCCTTACGCTTTTCTAGCGGCTCTACGATGTGTATTCCCTGCGAAAGTTGAGATTTTTATAATCGCGCAATCGAGGATTATTATTGCCGGTTCCGACGATATTAAGTTTGCATAACGTCCTGACTATTAACGGCTACCGTTCGCAATTACAGCCGATATATGTTCGGTCGTATTCCCCTGTTCATCTGAAAGTTTGCGAAATATCGCACTCATAAGTCTAATATAATCCTCATGTCTGAATATGTATAAATTTATATAACAAATTTAATAATATTAAAAAGATATTAGTAAAAATTTCTATATATCAAATATAATTAAATATAATTTATTTAAAATTTGGTTATTAGTAAAATATGGATTTGCCTTTGTGCTAAGACATCCAAGTACGTTACACGGAGGTAAAATCGTCAAGTTTTTGCGAATCGGCTAACACGTGTCTAGGACCAATCAGAGAGCTATTATTAAACTATCGTATATGGTGGCAAGGTATTCGTAGTGAGTATTCGAAAATGGCAATGAATGTGATAATTAAATAGACGGTGATATCACCGTTGCGGTAGCGCCAAGGTCGTGCAACAAATTCAATTGCACAATTATCTAAGAAATCAGTATGCTGCCGCCACTATGGCGGTATAGAAAGGTACCTGTGATTATTACCTTTACCTTATCCAGTTACTTCTCGAAGGTATCAAGGTTACGAGAACGTTGAGTATTTTCAACGATTTCCCAAGCGAGTTAAGCGCGACAAGAAAAATTAAGATATATAAATGATAATGATAAATATATTACGAAAAATATATATATTATGAGAAGAATCTCACAATGCAAGATAAGTACTTTTTAAAGGTCATATGTAAGTATTTAGAGGAACTGAAACGAATTTATAAAATTGAACGATTAGTTTGTACTTGGAATCATCTGGAAACGAAAGACTGGAGTCTGCAAGAGATGAAACTATAAGTGATCTTTTCGTTCGATTATGTAAACGCATTGAACATATACATATTCGTATATGGGTAAAGAAAAACACGATAGATTACATTCCTTACATTCACTCTAAGTACATTGACAAGATCTACGGTAAACAATTATACATGCAAGCTTTATCTTCGATTATCATGGATAAATTAGTCGATTAAAAAAGATGGGACTATACACTTCAACTGCGCATCTATCGCAGGAGGATCGTAATATATGATATAATATATAATTGAATCATAAATAGAATTAATAATTATATATGATATATATAATATATAATCTAATCATATATGAGATAATATTATGCTAACGTCAATGCTAACGTCGCCAATTCGTAATACTTTTTTCCAGATGTCCCACATTCGTTTGCGAGACCGATCTGGCAATTACGCGATATCAATTATTACTCATGCGGGCTATTAATGAATTAGAAGCGTTTTAATGTCAGTCCCACGTTTATCGCATATGAATCTATTCGCGAGCCGTATAACCTGCAGATTTTATGTTCTACCGAATCAATAAAAAGTGCTCGTCTCCTTTCCATGCAGCGCGCTTTAATAAGTATCGCCCGCGGTGAGCACGCTCGACATCGTACTGAGTAATTGTTAATATTACTGTGCCATAGATCGCAGTACTATAATTACTTCGTTATGATATACGAATATTAAAATCGCGTGATGAATACTCATCTTTATTATCGTAATTGCTTACTCTTCTACCGAGTATAGCAACTGATGCCACGCATGACACCAGAACGTAATATTTTAAGAAGTATCTACTAAATTATTCAAATCGTTTGACGAGGCAATAATCTAGACCACCAAAAGTGAAAAAAATAAGTTTGATAAATTGTAATTAAATTGTAATACGTTGATATAAAATCATAATTTTGAAAGAAATAAAAAGCGAATTTTATGTCATTATCATTAAATATGAATATTATTAAATCTAAAAAAATTATTAAAATATATTTTGACATAAAATGAGACAATGCGAATTTTGATTTTTATATAACATCTGTGGATTAATAAAAGATTCAATCGAAAAACGATCGAATCTCTGACACTCTTGTATTTCCTCTTATACAATAAGATCCTCGCGTTATCATTTTATTGTGGCAGTAATCGCTAATTGCGGTATTTTTTTATTTATTTGATTACTGTATCCGGCAAAAATATAATAGATTTGCCGATTTAATAGATTACGAGACGCCGTATTAAATTTATTCGCTATTAAATATGAATGCATTTTCAGGCTTACCTTGCAGATCGCCCTCCTTAGAGTAATAATTAACTCCTTAATACTTTCACAAAAGCAATATAAACCTATCAAATCTTATACATCGTAATAAATCTATTTGTTTTATCGCCGCGGAAATTTACCGTACTCTCTTAGATTAAATAAAGAAATTTGATTGCACGAATTATTAGACGCAGATAGAATAATAATTTTTTAGCAAAATTTCTTTGTTCAAAATTAAAAATAATTCAATGTGAAGACAATCATTTTCATAATATCAAAATTTTGTATAAATACAGAAAATTAGGTTAATCAATTAATATTAAAATATAAATGCGTTCTTCATAATATTATATAACAGAAAAATTATTCAATCTTTTTTCTTGGAAATTAAATTTTCGCGAAGTGCATTAATTATATCAATTATACAATAACAGTGCGAGTATTTTCGACATCTTAAATTCGTAAGTTTTTGTTACAAATTTTACTGTCTGATATTTTTTTTCGTAGAAGATGTAGAACTTGCAATTTTGCATGAATCAATAATTGGGTATCCTTATCTTACGTTGTATTTATCATTTTATTTCAATAACAAATTCTTTTTAAGAAAGGTAAAATAAACGTCAAGTATAAAGAAGTATTGAAACTTGTATGTAAATAAAAATTTGTTTAATTAATATTTAAAAATTAAGATATATGTATAATGTATAGATGTGTTGTACAGAATGTACATGTATATATTGTATTACTTAACGTTTCTTTTACCATAAAATAAAAACTTTTCACTCACCACATGATGTGCAATGACGAAATTGACTCGAGAAGCTACGTCGATCTATAACATACAAATATAAAATTCAAATTATATATATATATATATAATTATATATATAAAAATATAAGGAGACATTTAAAAACATATAATTTTTGAATACATTATTCTTCTTAAATATACACTTTTTTTGCAAGATGTATACAAATTTTTATTTCTAATTCTTGTTCAAATCATCAATTAAATGAGTACAGAAGCGTGTGATTAATAAAAAATAATATAAAATAAATAAATAAATTACCTCAAGGTTGTTCGGTTGTTGCCTGATGCCTCCTAGGCCTCCTCATCCTCTCAGGTTGTCAGGAGTTGTTTCACTCACTCGCGAAAATACAATTTATTAACGGTTCATTACGCGATACGATAAAAACGACACTCCCGAATTCGAACGCGCGACATTTTTACGGCATTCCCGAATTTAAACACGCGACATTTTTTACGGCACTCCCGAATTTAAATACGCGACATTCTGTACGACACTCCTGAACTAATACGCGACGAACCATTCGTGGCACACTGAAAACAAACATAAAATATTTTGTTATTATGAAATACTTTTTTTAATCGTTGCTATCGAGTCGTTTAGGCACACTTAATTGATGCCGTTATTCAATTTTTGCATTTAATATACATTAATGTACGCGCCGTTAAATTGTTTATAATCTTCCTTCCTCTTTTTCTCCTACCCTTGTTTTAACAAGATATTTCGCACGCGCGCATATACACGTGAAAGTGCGCCTCCGTCCAGTCATGTCAGCGCTAAATGGACCATCAGGGTCGTCATAAATCCTGGGACTATCAGATCAACAGCCGTAGCAGACTTGACTTGTCCTAGATATAAGGACGGAGACCACCGCCCAGTGTAATGGAAGAGTTCTCTGTCGACGCGCAAGGGATACGTCCCAGATGAGATCTGCACGAACCTGTCTCCACGAGAACACCCAGACTCCACCTGACTTCATCATTAACCCTTTCTGACTTAACTTCATTTCCCAATGAAATAACGTGTTAAACGTCATATAAATAATATCTTATACGTACTATATTAAATTTAGAGCGACATTTAATTTTGTATGTACGTGGAAATTTTATTTGTATGATTTAATAATAAAATAAAATTGAAATACATTGCTACTCTATCTAATATTTATTTTTAATTTTATATAAAATGTGCTATAAATAATAGAATGTTTCAAATATTAAATTCATAAGAGCGACTTTTGACTTTCTTATATGTGCGGATATTTTATTCCCGTGCAAGTAATTTAATAATAAAATAAAATTGGAAATACATTGCTACTCTTTCTGAAATTCCTCTCTAATTTTTTATAAAAGTATGTGATTTTTTATAAAATTATAGGTAATAGAATATTTAAAATATTAGATTCTGAAGAGTGACTTTTAACTTAATATGTACGTGGAAATTATATGCAAAGTGGTTTAATAATAAAATAAAACTGGAATACATTACTACTCTTTCTGATAGTTCTCTCTAATTTTATATAAAATGTGCTATAGCTAATAGAATATTTAAAAAGACGTAACATCAAGTTGTTTTCACGAAACATGCTTATCATAACGATTTAACGATAATTTCTGGATCAGTGATAAGTCGCGTCACTGTCACAAAATCTGTCTGCGTTCTAGAAGTAAGGCGCGTCTCGTTGGAGGAGATAAAGAATCAAGGAACATTGTTAATTATATGGTCGTGCACCGATATCGATACTGGCTAGCGAAGGCGAAGTAACCGGACCGCCAGGGAAGATGACATCGTACACCTAACGAATAACAAGCGTAACGTTTCAGTTGGGCTTTACTTTGCCCAGGAGGACTGGCAAGGAGGAAGATATCAGTATGCCACAATGAACCACCTATCGCCTTGTCCGGTCGGAGGCTAATTAACGCGGAGATTCATTATCGACACCTAGTCGCTCGTCCGCGCGGTTACCATCTTAATTTTAACATTCCTGATCCTTGATTCTTCCATTATTTGTTTCTCTATTGTATCATTGTACTATTAAATTAGAAGTGAAATTTATTAAGTCGATTTAAAAGTAAATTAAATAATCTACAATGTATATTAAATCATAGTAATGTTGAGGAGCAAATTTTATTTTTTATGCTTTAAATGTAATTATTTTTGACAAAGTACTTAAAGAAAAAGAGAAAGAGCTCCGTTTTTATATGCTTAAAATATATCTGAAATATTTGATTAATCGCTAACACAATACATTATATTTTAAATTCAAATATAATTTTAAGTTAAAATATAATTGATATCAAAATTATTGTGTTAGGCGATTAATCGAATATTTGAGACATATTTTAAGACATATAAGAACGGAACTTTTTCTTCTTTTCTTCCTCTTTTTCTCATATTCTACACTTTGTCAAAAGCAATAATCACATTTAAAGCATAGAAAATATAATAATAAAAATTTGCTCCTCAATATTACTATGATTTAGTCATATAGATTATTTAATTTCCTTTTTAATTGACTTTATATATGTTCTCAAAATAATTTAGATTTAATCTCGAAATTTATATTATGTACAGAGTGTTTCTGTTATTTTTCTCAAAGTTAAAATAGTTTTTTTCAGCAACAATGTTATTATCGATAAAATTACGAGATTGCCTCATGGATTTCGAATAAAACAATATTGTGAGATGGATATTTATGCACCTGATATCAGAATAAAGACTGCAACATTGATTAGCGACAATATGTTTGATTTTGTTGTGACTGACTCTTTTCTCAGATGATAGTACTCTGCAACTCTCGTTTCGGTAACCTGAAACATAATAGAACGTATAAGATAAATTTTATCGAAAAATAAAAAAAAATTAATTACGCCAATAATTAAGGTTCTCTTTAATACATTGTCAGATATTTATACAAAAGTATTTGCAAGATATATAGGTATATATATATAAATATGCACATAATATAAATTAGAAATAAATCATTATTTTACTTTTATATGAAATATCAAGAAGTACTTTTCGCGTCGTTTACTTTCTTTCAAATGGATTTCGAATAAAATAACAAGTAACAATAAGTGAATATTTATGTACCTCGCACTCTCATAGTATTTGATTCTCTCTTTCTGTCCCTCTCAGACGATAGTACTTTGCACCTCTTGCTTCGATAGTATGAAACATATATATAGAATATACAAGGTCAATTCTGTCGAAAAATAAAAAAATTTCAATTACGCTAATATCAAAAAAGTAAATATTAATAACTAATAACATTTAATAAGATGCATTACCTTCTTAACAATTTTTCATATATGCGGAGATTTCCTATTTCTTTATTTCACGTTTACACGTTAGCTCGCTACATTAACTGAACATTTGAATGAAACGTTTATGAGAAACCGATGATATATATATATAGCACATAGATGAACCGCGCAACTGTTATTATATGCGATTTTCGCGCGCGCATAAGCATAGAAATATATATTGAAAATAGACTGCCCTTCGCAATATGCAATCCGTTGAATGCAGCTGCAACAGTTGTTGCCTACTTCAAGGCTCTCTTTAATAGCGTTGTCAGATATATATTTTTACACGAAATTATATTGCAAGATATAAATACACGCCTAAATATATACGCGTCCAATATAAATAAAAAATAAATAATTAATTTTACTTTGATATGAAATATCGAGAGGTACCTTTCGCGCCGTTCTCCTTCTCTTGGACAACTGCGACCTAGAAATGAAACGCCTCCGTGGCGCAATCGGCTAGCGCGTTCGGCTGTTAACCGAAAGGTTGGTGGTTCGAGCCCACCCGGGGGCGGCGTCCTTCTTTTTGCACTCCCTGCACACGAGATACACATAATTATAAGACTCGATCGATCTAATTATCACATTTAACGAGTTTTTTTTGTTCTTACGCAAGGAGACGCACGTTCTTCGATGAAGAGGGAGGTTTCGTTTGAAGTTGTACTTCGAACAGAAAATCGACCATGAAACAATCGATTATTTATCGAATGCATCACGGACGCGGAAATACTGAAATCTGATTGGTCGCTGAGACTCGAGTGTCATTCTCCCTAGCGCGTGCAGGTGACGCTGCGTACGTTTCTCGAATATTTATTACACTATGCTGGTCTTGTATATGTACCTTTTACTCCATATTCGGTTACTTCGTGACGATTTTGTGAGTGAGTGATTTGGAACAATAATTCTTTTTTCGCGAGTGAATTTTTTTTGCAGATCTTGCCTACGATCGACTACGACCAGGAAATAAAATGACAGAAGAGAAAACGGAATTTGTAAGTAGCCACGATGTTTCGATGGTTCGATTTTCTGGCCTGCTTACATTCTAACCTCGCTTTCCACAAGGTCCCTTTGTTGATTATCAATATGCATAAAAAACCCATCATGAATTTTCACATCAATCTTTCCCCTTCAAATTTTTGTTTAAGAAATATTGTAATGCATTATGGTGAAATTATCTCTTTTAAGGTTACAAAATGCTATAGGGAAAACGAACATACACTCATGCTCATGTTGCATTTTATATTATAAACGATTATATTATGTCTTTTTGAAAGAATTCTGTTTTTATATTAATAATATTCAAGAATCTCTATATATTTATTTTCTGCACATTTTCTTGTGTACACATGTGCATTTATATGAAAGAAACTAAAAATATTTGAATTATGCATGGAAGTTTTGTGTGTGTATGTGTATGTGTACACACACATACACACACAGACACATTAATATATACATATATATTGAAATTTCTTTGAATTTCTAGGATTGGGGAAATGAAAAGTTACAACGTGCTCAGAAGACAGTTGATGAATCATCTTATGACCTGGAGGCATGGAGCGTTCTTATAAGGGAGGCACAGACTAGACCGATTACAGAAGTGAGACCAGTATTTGAAAAACTGGTATCAGTATTTCCATCAGCTGGACGTTATTGGAAAATTTACATAGAACAAGAGGTAACTGGGCAAAGAAAGATTTTATAAAGTAAAAATTATTACAAAAATTGAACTTGCACTTTATATTGTAATATAAAGGCTTAAAAAATTAATATTATACTCTAAATTATTTTGTTAAAAAAGATTTATTATGTGTTATTGTTGTTATTGATTGGCATATTTCTTATTCGTTTTCTAGATGAAAATGCGGAACTTTGAAAAGGTGGAAAAGGTATGTTATTAACTTATATGAATTTATATATTTAGTAAAAAGTTTATGTATATATTTATATGTTATTAAAAATTAGCTCCTATATAAAAATTCTATTCTATATAAAAATTCTATTCTATATGAAAATAGTAAAAAATGATACAAAAATAAAACTTATTTTATGCAGATAAATAAAGCAGGCCTAAATATAAAATATCATAAAATATGTTATAAATTAAAGTAAAAAGTTGGTCCTTTTGATTACAATTAAACTAACCGCGAATAGAAAAGAATGATGTTTTGTATGTGATTCTAATGTCATCTTTATTTAATTCATTAATCAGGTTTATCAGTACACGTTTTATAGAGTTAATTGTTTTATTATACTGCTTTTGTGGAATGAAATATTTGTTTTCTTTTGTCGCTGTAGCATAACAGGCCAGAATTTTAGGATATTATTAACATGCAATGTTCAAATATTATCATATATAATGTGATCTTCTAAGCACTTTGCATATTATGTGAGGTGAATAAAAAACTATTTCACCATAAGCCAATTATTTCATTGATTAATGATCAATCTGTTAAAATGTTTGGGAGGTTGTTTTCTTTGGCTACATTATATATTTGTTACACAGTTTATTGATTGAAAATAATAATTGCTGTATAAAAATATGATCTAAAGAAGACAACTTTCTGAATATAATAGCCTTGTATTCCTTCCTGCAATATATATTTTTATTTGTGCTTAAAAGGTATTGTATATAAATATTATTGCAAATTGAGTAGTCATTTATAATAAGTATAAGATTCAAGTACTTAGATGACATCAAATCCTCAATCAGATTGAATCTGTATCTTGAGGAACATCTTATAATGTTTTATCTAATCAGAGAGTATCGAAAGTAAGTTCTATTTACCCTTCCTCTTAGCAATATTTGAGAAAATTTGACATAGATAAAAAAAACTCAAATATTGCGAGTACTTTCAGAAGTAGCATAAGTTGATAAAATATTCATACACAATTAAATTTTTAAATATATCATTTTTATTCATTTGTTTTAAAATATTTTAATATTAGCATATTCTCTATTATCATCTTATGCTGCTTCACATTGTCTTAATTTTTTTATAATGTCTTGGGATCATTCATTTCCGGATCCCACATAGGTCAATCTTCTATAATTGGCCCCACATGCATTAAATAAATACATTTTTTATTTTGTGGGGCATTTTTATGTTATATATATCAATACATATAATATATTTATATATAAAACATATCAAGAATATCTCTTTCATTATTATTAATAGATCATTTATATAATAAACTATTCTCAATTGATGCATTGGTGCATTATTATTTATCCTATTTTATATATACTGTTTTTATTATAGTGACTGTATTATTAAAAATTTTCTTAATAAATTCTACCTGTTATTTCTTACAACATAAATGTTCAATCCCGTGATTTATGCATTACAAATAACTATGTGTATTAATTAAACTTGCCTTTATGGGTAAGTAAGTAATTTGGTAGATATATATACAATACATATATATCTTCCTTTAGGAGACGGAACTTGAATAAATTTTTATATTTATGATTGCTAGTTGCTACAATATTTCTAAAATATCTCTTTTGTCTGACAGCTTTTCCAAAGGTGCCTCATGAAAATTTTAAATATTGAATTGTGGAAACTGTATCTTTCTTATGTCAAAGAAACCAAAGCGAGTCTAGCTACATATAAGTAAGTACATGGACATATATTTTGAATTTATAATAAATAAAAAATGTATTATTTATTTTTTTATTAATTTTCCATTTTTTTCTGTCATTATTTCATTTTTTATTTTTTTTATTAATGGCCATTATAAGTATATAAATAAGAATTTAATAATAGTTTGCAGATGCTTATTTTCTTTGAATCATTGCAAGATAAAGAAATTAATTGTAACATTTTTCTAGAGAGAAAATGGCACAAGCATACGACTTTGCATTAGATAAAATTGGGATGGATATACATTCATATAGTATTTGGAATGATTACGTTATGTTTTTGAAGAGTGTGGAAGCGGTCGGATCATATGCTGAAAATCAGAAAATCAGTGCTGTGCGAAAGGTAACTAAAATTGGATGATAAAAAATTATATAATAAAATATAATTTTCAAGCAATCTATAATAATTAATGTCATAGGTTTATCAACGAGGTGTTATCAATCCCATGATCAACATGGAGCAATTATGGAAAGATTATATGGCATTTGAGCAGAATATTAATCCAATAATCGCGGAGAAAATGGCAATTGAAAGATCGAGGGATTATATGAATGCAAGACGTGTTGCTAAAGAATTGGAAGCAGTTACGAGAGGTTTGAATCGAAGTGCACCCAGCGTCCCACCAACCGGTCATCCTGAAGAAGTTAAACAGGTATTTATATTTCATCTTATATCTAGCATATTTTTTATTGTTAAAATTTTCAGTATTAATTGCAATATTATATTTATATAGCAATTGATACTAGAAATTGATTATATATATAATATGTTATATTAATATATTTTCGTCGTTTAGGTCGAATTATGGAAGAAATATATTGCATGGGAACGCAGTAATCCTTTAAGGACAGAAGATACATCGCTCGTTGCTCGCAGAGTTATGTTCGCAATCGAGCAGTGTCTCTTGTGTTTGGGTCATCATCCCGCAGTATGGCATCAAGCAGCGCATTTCTTAGAATTGAGTTCTAAGATATTAACGGAAAAGGGTGACGTGAATGCGGCTAAGAATCTCAGTGATGAGGCCGCTACTATGTTTGAAAGAGCGACGAACACATTATTATCGAAGAATATGTTACTGTATTTTGCACACGCGGACTTCGAAGAGGGTAGAGTGAAATACGAAAAGTACATCAGATATATCAAAAATTTCTTGATATACCTGATATAGATCCTACCTTGGTTGGTTCATATAAATATATTTATGCGTTATATAATTAAGTTGTGGATTATGTTATAAAATAAGATATCTCGTTTTACAGGCATATGTACAATATATGAAATTTGCAAGAAGAGCCGAGGGTATAAAATCTGCGAGGACAGTGTTTAAACGAGCACGAGAAGACACAAGATGTAAACATCACGTTTACGTCGCTGCTGCGTTAATGGAATATTACTGTACTAAAGATAAAAACATAGCATTTCGTATATTTGAATTAGGCTTGAAGAAGTTTGGAGATAATCCGGATTATATTCTTTGTTACATAGATTATTTGTCACATTTAAATGGTAAGAAAGTGTGTGTAAGAAAATTATGTAACTTTACGTAAATTGTTATGTATATACCATATATATATATTCGAAATAACTATTATATTGTAGAGGATAACAATACAAGAGTTCTTTTCGAGAGAGTATTATCTTCTGGTAGCTTAGAGCCAGAAAAATCAGTGTATGTATATAAAAACATATTTCGATACTTTATCAAAATTGTAAATTTTCTTTATTTAACAAATAATTTATTTTTTATAGAGATATTTGGAATCGTTTCTTGGAGTTCGAATCTAATATTGGCGATCTAGCTAGTATCGTCAAAGTTGAGAAGAGACGAAGCGCAGTATTGGAAAAGGTTCATATGTAATCTATATTATAATTAA